TACCCATGTCCACAAGATATATGTCACTTGGAACGAATTCTGCAAGCATAGGAAAAATCAATTAATTACACTGTGTGTTACATACCAAAACATTTGGCTCAAGGTAAGGCTTGATTCAACTTTAAATCTCGGTAGTTTTACATTGTGTGTTACATATCAAAACGTTTGTTCTAGATTCGGGTAAAAGGAAACCTATTGAATACCTGGAACAAAGCAGAAAGGATAAGATGAAGAACTAACTGGGGTCGACTAAACCAAAAGTATTTGTCTGAACCTCTTACCAGAGGTATTCCTTGGACAACTGCATGTCTATCTGTGATTACAAGAGCCATCTTTGCCAATGTGGCTTGAAGTTCTGTTCCAACAGCCAAAATTATCTACAAAAATTAAATGAATTATAATTGTGGATCTCAACCAACTTGAAAATTTCATACATAGAACAGAATGCTTACAACAACTAGAATTAAGGATGCCCATAATGGAGTATGCCAACCTGGAAATTATATGAGATTAACCAAGTGTCATAATTAATTGAATTTTCAACTGTTGAATTAATAAATATCATAAGACCCTACTAAGAATAAAGTTGCTCACCATTAACATTTAGAAGCTGGAAAACTACAACTGATGCCCAAATGACAGGACTGTTAACAACATAGTGGACCAGAGTGAGTTATACTAGAAAAACATACATAATATGATGATGCAAATACACTTTGTTGTGTCAAAGATTATTTTCTTACCTGACTCCCACAACTACCTTGAAGTCATCTTCTAGTGATCTTTTAATATACTTTTGAAAATTAAATCTACTACCAGGAGCAAGGTGGACCTATACATAATTCACTGTAAAAAAAGAAGGAAGACAAATCCACAATGTCAAGAACATGTTCTTTGAGGAGCGTAAGACTCTGTGATAAAAGGGCTGTTATTATACTGCCCCCTGCTATACTTCCTTCTATATGCGCCGAGTTCTACTCGCCCCCGAATGTTTTGAACGTTCTGGTCAGGGTGAATCAGAACCCGGTCATCCTGGCCGTTAGCTTGCTCCACATGATTTTGGGCATTTTGGCCATCTACGACTTGGTTTCCCTGATTCGGGTTTGCAGCGTTCACTGGATTGGTCCTGTTATGATTTTCTGCATGGGGAACCCGATTTGGGTGAACCACATTCTGAGCTCCTTCTCGGCCATTAACAAGTTGGCCATCAGCTTCAATTGCTCCTGGTCCAGTCAACTGCGTTAAACGCCGCTCCAGATCTCGCATTCCTCTGTTATTCTCCTCCCGTATAGCCTTGAAATCCTGCTGCCGTTGCAAGTTATTACAGTTTTCCAGCTCTGCTATTCGTTCCATGATTGCAGCGAACGTATTGTTGGCCAACCGAGTATCTGGATCAGCCGATTGAGCAATACGCGCAGTCAGATCTCCTGGATGCCGGGGAGGGTTGTTTCTTATTGGTGCTACGTTGGCCCCAGCCCCCCTATCACGACGCGCTGGAGTAGAAGCGGTATCTGAGACATCGTCCTCGACCTGAACGTGGTCGTAATCCACGTTGTTTCCGATCTGGTTCGGAGGCTGGTTTACCTCCTCTAAGACTGGATCCAACAGTTGATTCTGGTTTGGGGGTGGCTGCTGGTTACTGCTCCTCGTCTGGATTGCCATCCCTTATCAGATTGGTGGGAACTTCACATTCAGAGATGAATTCCCCACAGACGGCGCCAATGTTCTGTCCTTGAGACAGAGATGTCTAACCCAATAGGCTAGTATGTTGATATTGGATCTAGTGCCCTCTCCAAGGTATCTATCCATGAAAGAGATACCCTTGAGTCAAGCAGATCACTGTGCACAGAATACTATAACGGCGTTAGCCAATGAGGTGTGTGTGTGCGCACAATGACAACATAATAGTAAGAGAGAGAGCGTACGTACCTTTAGGATTTACCTTTGTATTTATAAAGGTTACCTGTGGGTAATGTGGATGGGCCTTTGGTTCCTCTGATGAGGGTCCAGGCCTTATCGCTATGCTGTCGTATTAGGGTCAGTATCCTTGATGGATACCTATCATTTATTAGTATCAATCCATATCCTGGATTGCCCTTTGTTGAGCTTGCTACTTATATGGCCCATTATTAGACGGGTCCATAACACTAGCTATTGTTCGGTAATAGTTCTAAAATAAAATTGGAAATAAAATAGTTTTGTATTGTGTTCGTAAGTAACTTTATTTTAATACATTTCTATTTTTATTCACTACCCTATATTCCATTTTCATTTTTATTACACACATCCACTTCAAACCTAAATGAAGCTACTGTTATTGTTCCTTTGAGGTTTGAATTATAAGTTGATCTCAATCCCAAATACGATGGTGAAGCATTAATAGACCATTTAGTGAACAACGAAAATGGTGGTCTTTTTCAGCTCTATTATGATTAAAGTAGTTAGCAAATGATGATAGTTTAATTGATGTTACGGAATTGAGTAGATGAGAGAGAAATTATGTGTTCGATCATCTCCAATATCTTGTTTGTAAACCAACATGAATATTTCTAAAATAATAATAATAATAATAATACTAGGCCGGCTGAAAATGAGTCTTGACGTCACAAGAGAATATAATAAAATTTCTTTGGAGGGTTAACTCGTAGTCTTGTTTTTATTTCCTTGAACTAACAATAATTGATGAAATATAAAGCGCTGCCGTTTCTGTCTTTATTATTTTTTGAATTTTTACGTGAAACCATGAATCATGCCTAAATTAATATATAATAAGAGTATAATTAAGTACTGTACATGACTCATCGTTTGTCTCTTCCATGAGACAGGTGACCTAAGAGGATACACATTTTTTACATAAAAATCCCATGGAACCATTCCCAAGAGCTTTCATAATTTTCTGTCCATTTTTGCCATAACCTATCATTCTTATTAGAACAAAACCTGAGCCATTCACTGCTAGTGCTACACTTTGTCTCTATTGATCTTAAGTAGTAGGCAACATCTCATATTTATTTTGCAGCACATGGAGATGACATTCGTGTTTCCCTTTCTAAATTTAGTTCTGGCAGATTGATTAGTGAAGATGGTGTTATAACTTTCTGCTGACATGCATAACGTGCACCGTTTGATTAAAAAGAGAAAAATATTATTTCAGTCCTAAAAGATGTATACTTTTTTTATTTAATTTTAAATCTGATTCTATCAACTAGTTTTTTTTAAGTATTTTACTTATCTCGGTTTAGTTCAATATACACATTTAAGATATGTAATTTTTTTTGTTAAAGTTAACATATAAGAAGGAATTAAATAGATAACTTAAAGTATTTAATTAAATTGATAAAATTAAATTTAAAAAGAACTTAATTAAGAAATGTCTATATTGCAAGGACACAGTAATTTTCTATAATTCAAAATTGTTAAGTACGGCAATACAATGTGACAATGTGTAGGTGCAGGCGAATATTTTATTGAAAATTTTGATGGAAAGACGTGTATGTTTAATTATCATAAGTTCCTAACTTATATGCTACCGTCTATCAAAGAATATGATTCTAGGATGCATTGCTCTTGAAACCTAATGTTGTTCAAGCTGCAAATGCATGCAGAAGAACACCAGAGGCAAAGAAAATCAACTTATCTCAACAGTCCAATCAACATGTGATTTCTTTAGTTGCCCCCTTTAGTCTTTTGCCAGTTTTTAAGTACCCATCTCTCCAGCTACTCTTGACACAAGCCTCCCACCAAATCGAAGTAACAGAAATCATATGCTATGATGTTTTTCATTATAGTAACATATCAATTTCCAAAGTAGAAGATATATCATGGTTGATTGTCCCCCTTGTCTCCCAATAACAGCAAATGCACTGGCATCACAATACCGTATGGTTTCGATTATAATAGCCACTAAAAGATTGATTATAGCAATTTGGGACAAAGCATTGCTCATATGTTCCCCCAATAGCCTCTTACGTAACCTTAGCCTAGATTCCAAGGCAACGACGGACATGTATGTGTGCAAGTGTACACACAAATTTTTTGGATAAAAAAAAGAATAAAATATATTTTGGGTCATCAACAAAAATTACGGGATCCAATTTAATCCCTTAAATAAAAATCATCTCGTGATTCCTCTAAATTCCAAAATAGACCAATGTTAGATCTTTTGAGGGATTAATGTGGATCTTTTTGAATTCTGAGAGACCACGAGTCGACTTTTTTTTCTTCTAAGGGACTAAATTGGGGCATATAACTTTTGCTGAGGAACCAAAATATTCTATTGTAACAGTTTAGTTGACTCTTGATTACTTTTTTTTATATTAAAATTTTCCTTTCTTTTTCTGTTTATATTCTTTTGTATTTTAATATATTTTAAAAAAAATTCTTTTATTCTTTTATTCTAAGTGTGCAGACATAAATAAAATTTTCTAGGTCCGCTGTTGATTCCAAGGCCAGAAACTTTAAGCTACAACCCCACTACATTGTTTGAGCTAGCCAGCATGATTTAAATCCATCAATTACTTATCCTTTGAAGTTGACAAGTTAAACTGATGGCAGAATGCAAGTTCAATCATACACATAATAATTTAGAGATATCTTATATTATTTAATAATGGTTGACAAGTTCAAATTATTGGAAGAGGGGGGAGCACACACCAGCAATGCTATGTATCCATTGTTTACATTCTTGGCATGTTTAGTTGTTGACCACAACTCTCTTAAACTTCAACATTGTCCATCTTATGGCCGCAGGATTAATAAAATCACTAGAGCTACCGAATTGCTGGCCTAAAATGTTACAAAGCCATAGGAAAAGTAGGTTGACCCACATTGCCGTCACATGCACACATATGATATATCCAAATAGTTCGTTCACGTTCACAAATATGGTACCAAGTTTAGGTTCTCCAAATCATGTTCTTATAAATAGATTGAATGAAGGCTAGTTGTAAATCAAGCATCCTTGTGTTAGGAACACCTTTCTAGCAAATAACAAAGAAAAGATGGAAGCCATTTATAGATTTCCCTCTGCACATCAACCAATAAGGTCAATTAGCTTTCCCACCAGAATACACACCTCTTCTCAGAGAATTGATGCACTTTTAAACCACCTCAAACCTCATCATACCCGGTTTTTATCAAGCACTATTTGTTTGGAAGCAGAGAAAATTCAGAGTGATTTAGTTGTGCTTGCAGAGCTTTATAACTGCATGGAGGAACTCTTCCATTCTCCACAGACAAAACAAGCTCTTCTACGCTACCAAGATGGGAAACTAGTAGAAGAGGCATTATGTGACTCAGTCACAATGCTAGACGCTTGTGGTTCTGCAAGGGATTTTTTGTTGGTTCTCAGGGAACACATGCAAACCCTTCAATCAGCCGTACGGAGAAGAAGAAGAGATTTAAGCATTGAAAGCAGCATTTCTGCTTATGACAGCTTCAAGAAGAAGGCAAAGAAGGAAATTGCTAAGCAACTTGGGAAGTTGAAGCGAATGCAGAACAAGGTTAATTCCTTTTCTATCATGGATCAAGATCAGCAGCTAACATTTTTGGCTAGAGTTCTAAGAGAAGCAAGCACCATCACCATCTCCATATTACGTTCTCTACTACTACTCCTGTCCATGCCAGCACTTGGAACAAAAGGGTCCTCCACGATCTCAAAGTTGAAGGCAAAGACATTATTTTCTTCCCTGAGAAAACACAAGAACACCAATGGGGTTGTAGATCTCAATACTGCTCTGTGCTATCTTCTTGGAAGAGAGAAAAAGAGCGATTCCAATGGTGAATATCAAAGGGTAATAAGGGTGATAGAGACACTAAATGTTAATATTGATGGTTTGGAGGGTGGATTAGATTGCATATTTAGATGTTTAGTACAAAATAGAGTGTCATTTCTAAATATGCTAGCTCATTAAAATAATGATGAGTAATCAATAGCCTCTCTGTAAATGTGAGAATTATCATGTTGTCCGCATTTTAAAGGGTTTGCGCTCCACAAATCAGAGTACATGTTTGAACGAGAGCATTATGATTCAGAATTCTATTATCTTTTAAAAATTTCCATATTCTAATTCATTCTTTTTTATTTCTAGTAAGATTCTGTTTTTTTTTTTTTTTTTAACTGACCAATAAAAGGCCTTCCCCCAAACTAGCTGGTAATTAAGATTTATTTATTTTAATAATTTGTTTAAAACCATCCATCTTCCGCAAGGTTGAATCTATCAATACTAGTTATGGCTTTAACCATAATGTTTTCCTAAATCAAATCTGACAAATTACGCGTAATTTTTTTTTAAATAAACCGTCCCACAACATAAGATTTATGGGCCTTGGCCCCTTTTCACCAAAAACGAAAATGTATCTACTTTAATAATTTTTATTGGGTGGGCCTTAGGTAACCCCATATCCAGATTAAGCTATTTCTTTTCCCCTCATTTGTGCCTGGTGGTGCAGGAAAGTGAGTTTTGGCCCACTAAAATTTTACTGGGCTTCATCTTATGAGACAGACATTGTAACGAAATTTGCGAAATGGCCCAATGGGTAATAATCTATTTCGTAAGCATTTTTTTTTTTATTAAGAGAACTTCGTCTCCCAGTAAAGGCTAATTTTAGCTATATGTCATTCACAGAAAATTTTTAGTCTCAAAATTCAGCATCTCAACATCCCATTTTACCAAACAGTATAAGGCAATGTAAATATAACCACTTATACACATGTGAAAAACCTTAACGCAGGAAGTGAATATATAAGATTTAGTTAGTTTAAGAAAATCGTGTACCTTTGCAATATCTAACCTTCTTTAAATAACGGGGACATATTAAAAATTCATGTGAATTCTTTTTCTTATTGATTGTTATGTTCGGGATGTATTGTGGTTGAGTTCGTTGATAACATTCCACTCTCCAAAGTCTCGAGGTTTAGAGATGCTAGTATGCTAGGAAGAAATTGGCAGCAAATTCCTTGATCACACTTTAATGTCAATGTCAGTATAATAAAGAGAAATGCTTGCACAAATAGTAAGAGAGAGAATGAGTATACTCGTATACTGTAATAAGAGGTGTAAAGTATTAAGAGAAATTTAGCCAGTGAAAAGGAAAATAAGCCATCGTTGGAGTAAAATCTATTGAGTTGTTATTGTTGATTTTGAAAATTGAAAATCAGCGAATGACAATGAATGTGTCTGTAATCATTTTTCTTTGTTTGGTGCACTTAACATTGCATCATATTTGCATACTTGACAAAACCTAATGGGGCCGTCCGATATGCGTCCTTTTCTATGTACCTCAAGATATCTTAAGAAAATCAAATAAATGAAATTGTGAAGGAATCTTTGGTTTAAAACAGAGCAAAAAAGTTGATGAAATTAACAAGGAGACATAAAGATTATTACATGCCGCTCGTGCACACGCAACCAAATTAACCCATTATTTTGTTCTCGTGATTGTGACAAAATCATCCATAATTCAAATTGTTGTCCAATTGTCATATCCCATAAGATCTGGATCGCATCCTTCCCAAAAAAATTTCTTTAAACCATTTTGCAGTTCTAGACATTGAGACAAGCCAGGCAGTGGACATCTCTGAAGCTGAAACAAACCCATTTTTATATTTGAAAATCAAGAGGGTAATGTGGCAACAGAGGAGGCAAATTAACTAGCTCATGACTAATGAGGTTTTCTGTTTACCAACACTCGGAAGACATGCCAGGTATACACCTCAAAACCCATTTCATAACCATCATGGCCTATATTATATCATACATATTAATAATAGTGCACTATGTTTGGCAGAGATGTGACAAGTTTACCGAATTCGAAGGAACCACATGCGGATACCACATGATCACATTGATTGGGAGAGGTTAGCTGTTCTGTCTATATTATTTTGGCCTATAGAAATGAATCATGAATTGCTTCTATATATATATATATATTGAGAGTCAAGGACTTGGTAAGAACACACAAACATTGAGCTTCCTTTGAAAAAGAACAGACAACAAAAAAGAGAGTAACTATGGCAAATAAATACCATGTTCGCTCAAATAGTTTCCCTTCTGGATCTCATCCTATCACCAATAGAGTAGAGGAGGAGCTGACCAAGCTCAAGACTTGGGAAGCCGCATCCACGTCCACATCAGAGTCAATTGGCACTGGCTTATTCTTGCTTGAAGATTTGTATATTTGCTTGGAAAGTCTTCTCAACGTGGCATCAACCCAAAAAGTGATTTCTCACCATCAAGGTGAGAAGTGCTTGGAAGAACTTTTGGATGGTTCGGTGAAAATTTTGGATATATGTGGCATCACAAGGGACACCATGTTACAAATTAAGGAAAATGTTCAAGCACTTCATTCTGCTCTTCGAAGGAGAAAAGGAGATTCCAGTATTGAAAGAAGTGTAGCCGAATACAATTCTTTCTCAAAGAAGATGAAGAAGAATGCTAGGAAGTTGATCACAACTTTGAAGCAAATGGATCTCAAATTTGGAGTATCCCCACTCTTGAATCAAGATCACCAACTTGCTGCTTTGATTAGAGTGCTAAGGGAAGTCATTGCAATAAACATGGCTATCTTTCAATCCCTTTTGTCTTTCTTGGCCGTGCCTACTTCAAAGTCAAAGGCAACCAAGTGGTTCTTGGTGGCAAAAATGATGCATAAGGGGGTGATAGCATGTGAAGAGAACTCGGGAAATTCCAATGAATTGCAGTGTATGGAAGCATCTTTAAGCACCCTTATAAGTGAAGGTACTATTAATGTAGAGAAGATGCAGGCTGCACGTGAAAGATTGGAGGCTTTGGAGAATGCCATTGAAAACATAGAGAATGGTTTGGAGAACGTATTCAGGCGCTTGATTAAAACGAGAGCTTGCCTTTTGAACATAATGACTCAATAGTGTGTGCTCTATCATAATTTTCTCTCCAAATCCTCCATAGCGTCCAAATTTTAGGGATCTGCTGAGGATTGAAATTTTTTGCCTCATCAAATTGTACATGTATGCAATTCAATATTCACACATTTCAAATACAACGAAAAGTTTATACTCTATATTTCGGAATCTTTTAAGTCACTTTGTTTTTTTTGTTTTATAGAAAAGATCACACGTTTACTTTTATCATGCTCTCTAACTAAAAACTACAGTTATAATATTGGCTAGACAGTAATGTGTAATAAGCAAGTGGAGTAATTAATTTATCTTTAGGCCTTTTAATTGAAACTTAACAGAAAAAAGATCATTTCACAGAAAAAAGATTTTATCCCCATAAATCAGAGCATCATGATTCAAAATTCCAAGGTAGCAGTGTTCAAAAAAAAAAAAAAAAAAAAAAAAACCAAGATAGCTTCTCAAAATTTTCGTATTCTAGACTTCTAGTGTTTTTTTTTTTTTCCTAGTAACATAAATTTCTTTTTGCAAACTGACAATTGAAAGCCCTTCATTCTGTAAATTTATTTTTGGTTTGTATGTAAGATCTATTTATTTTAATTTGTTGGCTTAAATTTTAGGGGTTAATCATCTATATATCCCACAAGATACTTATTGTAACATCCCGTCTCGAGCTGGTTCAATTAACATACATATGATACTTAACAGAAACAGCAGAAGACTTAACTTACGAAAATACGAGCTAACTTTTTTTTTCTTTAATCCTATCTCACACGATATATGTCAATCGGAAATCTCAAAAAGGCAAGTGCACCGATCGTACCAAGTAATAAAAGGTTAAGTAGAGATCGTCTCCACGAGGATTGAGGCACCGAAATTATTTTAACTATTCCTTCCTTGTTGGATGAATAAAAGTTGGTTTTGAGAATATTTGTGATTTGTAAAAATTGAGAATTATTCAAAACTTGTGAACAATTCAAAGATGTTTTTGAAAACTTGAGAATAAAATATTAAGATTGAGAAAATATTTAAAAAGACTATTGCGGTAAAGACGCCAACAACTTTCTGATCCCCACCTTGCAATATTAATTAATGTTTACATTTAATTACCCATTGATCAAACAATTCACCATCTATCAATTGGTTGGTTAAGCTATAATTCCTTAGTAATCTTAACTTTATTAACCCTATTAGAGTCCTAATCCTTTAGAAATCCTTTTTCAAGTTAATCCTTTAAACCAGTGAATTTTTCACGTTTGCAATTCATGTACCTTATTCCTAGTGTATACCTGAATTGTTATTTTACCCTCTGTCAGGAACTAGAATTTCAATATTCCTATTGAAAACCCTAACCCTTGCAATCCCAAAAGAGTGATCAATTCTAGAAGAATTATAAGTAGAAGAACAAGATAAAATAAATGCAATTAGAATAATTAAATATAAAATTAATCAAACTACAAGGGGTTCACATCAAGGGCTGTGACCCTTATCACAATAATAAAAGACTAGCCAGACATATTCATGTCTGACAATTCAAAGTATTGAAAAGAATTCATAAAATAAAATAATAACCAGAAGAATGGAAAGAAGAAATCTTGAAGCTTCAGTCACCAAGAGCTTGCTCCGATTCCTATTGTTCGCAATTTCTCCTGTGCATAAAGGTTATGTTCTCTTGAGGTTTGAGTCTCTATTTATAGAGTCTTTGACCTTGTGTAGAATCTTGATTTAATCCTTGTCGTAATCTCAGTCTGATCTGTGTCTGATTTAAAACAGGATTTGATGTTGATTTGTCCGCACCTCCCACGCCACTAGCGCGGCTTCCACGCTGTGAGCGTGGGAGTTTTGTTCAGAATACTGGAGCACCACGCAACTAGCGTGGGTTCCACGCTAACAGCGTGGTTTGCATGAAGGTCTGGCGCTACTAGCGTCAGTTCCACGCTAGTAGCGTGGAAGTCTCTGCGTGAAAAGCTCCTTTCAAGCTGTCAACGTCATTCCCACGCTCTCAGCGTGGGCTTTCAGTTTTGCATTTTCCTTTTTAGCTCCAATTTGTTTGCTTTTCCTACGAAATCAACATAAAATCAGTTGTGCAATCTCTGATTGAGATTTTAACAGATGAACAGTAATTATTGCCTTTTTGCTTAAGATTAATCAATACTCTTTCTCTTTTTGGCTTAGATTTACCCATATGTTGGATGCATATCACATAATATACAAGACATTATATAAGCAAATACCATAACTGAACAAAGCATATACACATATCTTATCAGAGATGTACGCAGTCATTCACAAGGGAGGGCCCCAAGCAGAAGTCGGCGCACGTAACAAATATCGTAATAGAAGTGTACACAGTCATTCCCAAGGGATCGAGGACCCCAAGCGGAAATCAGTGCATATAAACCATTTATGAAAATCATCACAATAATCACATCAGAATAAAACATATCATATCAAAAATGTACGCAGCCATTTTCAAGGGAGGATCCCAAGCGGAACTCAACATATGACATAGGTACACAGTCAATCCCAAGGGAGGACCCCAAGCAGACATTCGTGCACACATATAATCAATAGCCAAAGATCATTACAGAAATCACATCAGAACAGAACATATCATATTATCAAATAGTTCTATATGAATGCATCTATACAAAGCATCAAATACAGTCATACAATCCAACCATAGTCCCTAACCATGGTGGAGCATTCAAGTAGGAAAATACTCTTTAAACATAGAGCTTACCTTTTGAAGCTTTACCAATTTGCTCACTTGTAACACAAGTTACCTATTTAGCTCCAAAGGAATCCAAACACGCTCAGTCCTTAGGCACACCTAGAGAAAGAATCCAAAACAAAACTCAATAAAATATTACAATGCCATATAGTTACAAGACATACACTTTATTATTTACTTTCGTTTCTACATTTATGCCAATACACAAGTCATAACCAGTTTTCTTTTTACTTAATCATATTAGGCCATGAGTAAGTGGTTCTTTATTCAACAAATCCTCACAAAATTCCACATATTCACTTAGTCTTAGGATAATCCTAAAAGGCCTTTAGAACACTCATTACTCCTCTTAGCACCTAAAAGCCTATTTTTCCCAATTTAAGGCAAAGTGCCCTTTACAAAGGAGCTACAAGATTTCTCTTTGTCTAGTTCCTAAACCCAAGCTTTGCCATCTATATATTTTATTTTACCCATAAAAGTGTTCTCACTTGGCGAAACAGTAACTCCAAACGTATACCTCCTTTGAAAATGGCCAAAACTCATTTTAAGGCCATACAAAGGAGCTACCTTATTTTCTTTTTTTATTTCACCAAAGCGAAAGTTCATACACCTTAGAGTATTATTCCATCTTCAATTCATATGTACGGTACTGTTCATCTCTACAGTACTATTCATGTATATGTCACTATTCACGTATACGACGACACTATTCAAAAATGCGATATCTTTAATTTTCCGAATATATTTTCACCGTTAAAATTCTCATCTAAACACTTTTCTCAACATGAGCTAAGCATCAATCAAGCTCTAACATGTTCATTCAAACCAAACTTTCAAAATGGAAACCTAAATTCAATCTTCCTCAAAACTCAAAGAAAACTAGGATTTCTTAACATAAACTTACCTAGAACGAAGGGGAAAGTTTACTTCAAGCTCCCATGGCTTCAAGCTCTCATGGCTTCAAGCTCCATCAAAACCCCAATTTCCATGAAATTCAAAATCTTAGGGGAAGAAGATCTCTCTCTACAGTGATCCCCATCCAAAAATACTGGTACTAATGGATTCCTCTGAAAATTTCTCACAAGTTTGGCTTTAGAACAGAGTGATTTGGAGGTCTCTAGCTCAAATTATGAGCTTTGAAAGATTTAGTTACTATTCATGAACAAAAAGAAAAAGAGAGACAGAGGCGCGCAGGAGACGGACGGAGAAATGAAGGAGAAATAGTAATTTTCTTTAGAAATTCCACTTATATAGGTTAAGTAAAATTCAACTGGATAAAAGTTTATCTATCTACATAACTCCATTCATTACCAAATTTTACCCACTGGACTAGAATATTTTTCTACTCATATTTCTAACTTTACTTTCACTTTTAGGGTAACTTTTCTTACTCGCATTTTTACCCTTTAATCGTCATTTTTACTCCTTTTTCACCAAAGGTGACTTTATTTCTTTTTCTTCTAAATATTCTTCAATATTAAATCCATAAATAAATGTGAGGGTCATTATACTTATTGCTTAAACCGAATGCATCTGTAAAAATAATTAATTAATTCGACTTATTAACTATCAAAAAACTTTTTTTACAGTAATCATTTTAAACATATTATATACTAACTAAACTAAGTAATTTTTTATTAATCATTTTTGTTAATTTGAACTTAAATTTAATTAAAGTAACATAGGTTATAATTGTTGGGTTTGTGCTTTTTTACTTAAGCCTAATTGGACTAAGAGTATGAGAATAGCCTAAGAAGTCTAGAGCCCAAAGAGACTTTAGAGCTAGGTTTTTTGGTACCCATATAAATACTATCACACTTAAGTCATCAGCCTATGGGGCCAGTGAACTAAAAGAGATAAGCTCAGATCTGAAAATTGCCCACATACTTTTCCTTCTCCCTTGAGATATAGTCTAGGCCACTGTTCATCCTCAAAGAGTTTGTTCGTGTTGCGGCGCTGAGGAGAGCAGTTCGTGAAAGAGAATTATACATGGGGAGATTTTGCACGAGATCTACGTATGAAGAGGTAAATTGTAACACCCCGTCTGCAGTCAGTTAATTAACATTCATATGATAATACCGCAGCATATTTAAATAATTAAACGCGGAAGCTCTTTTCATAATTCACTAGACTAGACCTTGTATAAAAATTTGATTAACTTTTTTCTTTTTCCTTATGTTTTTCTATATGTATTGTGATCTTTACCGCCTCTTTGGTCAAAATGAAACGGACAACATTTCGTTTGTATTATGGACCATTGGTGGTATTTTTACCATGA